GACACTCTAATTAAACTAATCTCATCCCACATGGTCCTTGATGCTGTTAATTATGGGGAATACTTCCCCAAAATCATCAGATTCGCAACACAGAAACCCTACATGCTACTATTGTAGGTAATATAGGGGCCATAATAATTAGAATAGGGCTTCGGGGCCCATTATACTATAACTGTAATAAGGAGCCCCCAAAATAGTATAGGTAATTTTTAAGGCCCTTGTAGTACTTTGGGCCCTTTGGGCATGCGTCTTCGACTCTTTCGGGTTTTCTCCGCGACGCTCTCGGGCCATCCGCGCGTGGCGCAGCAGGGATCGGCACCTGTGCCAAAGTTTCCTATCAGATTGGTGAACCTCAAAATTGAGGGTTTCTGAGACCCCACAAAGACCCAAGCGCTCTCCCTAGGACATTCCGGACCATCCAAAGGAGATACCTGAACCCTTAGGGTAGGTCTGGCCACGACGAAAGTTCCGCTTACTCGGTTGAAGATAGGGTTGTTGAAGGGTTCAGGGTTTCGGATTTAAGGCTTGGTTCAGGGTTTCGGGTTTCACTTACCATACGGACCTACATAATTAGAATAAAGTTCTGTGGCCCGTTACACTATATATGCTTACAAAAAGGAACCCCCAAAATAGTACAGGTAATTAATATATATATATATATATATATATATATACACATACATATGTATATATATATATATTATATATATTATATATATATATATATATATTATATATATATATATATTCTATACCCCCCTAGAACCATAATCAAAATATGTTGTTTATCATTCTCTTGGATTCTAAATGAACAAAAGTGACAAATAGTAATTCCTAACGGGACTATAGTATGACTCTCAATGGTTTCGAGTTCAAGGCATGAGGGCTCAGGAGATAGCCCCAAGGGTCCAAAGGACCCAATGATCAGGTACTCGGTTGTAGGATAGTAGTTATGTAGGTTAGGATCTCGGAGAGTATATGTCTGCTGATATAAATCCTGCATTACCCAATTATAAGGAATATACCATGATTCCCCTAGTTTAGGGTCCTTAAGGTAATGCAGGATTTATATCATCAACCGTTGGACCCTTGTATTGGATACTTGGACCCTTGGGGTAGGGTCGAGGTTGTCCTTCACGAATTCAGGAGAGTGCACGGGCCGCTGTAGCCCAGTCCTGTCACAGGAAACCCTGCAATCCAAGGGTAAAAGGAGGGACCCTTAATAAGGACCCCTAGGTATATACCCTTAATACAGCTATTATATACCCATTATATGGTCCATTGTAGGGTGGGGGTTTCCATTAAGGGCCCCTCCTTGTCCCCTTTGATGAAAGACAGGGTTCCGACATCGATGTGTAATTCTTGAGAGCTTTAGGTTTGAGGTTTAGGGTTGAATAAGGGCTGAGCATTGAGGATAAAGAGCATGTAAGGGCTGACTTATGCAGCAACACCTTCAGGACCAACGAAAACTGAAACCCGGCAAGGTAAAGCCTCGAACTGTCTGGAGGTCCATGCAGGACGTCACCGTTGACTGTGATCAACTGGTGGTCCCAGAGGGTCCACATACACTACCCTTATGGAATTAGGTCCAAAAAGACCATGCCCATTATGGTTTTGGGGGCCTAATTCCATAGTGGTAGTGCATATGGGTGTGTGCAGCTTTCGCCGTGCTACCCAGCGGCACACTCACAACATCTTTGCGCGCATCTACTTTTTCAGCCCGAGCATCAACGTGGACGACGGCTGGAGGCCGGTCAAGTACATCGAGCAGGACATGAAGGTCAGCACGTGGGTGTGCACCCTAAAGCTGCGCCTCGTAAGCGAGTAAACAATTCTTCCTTCTTGTGGCGCTTGCAGAACCAGCTGGGGAAGGACAGTCTGCTGGAGGAGCTGACGGCGCTGGTGCCGAAGCAGCAGCTGCCATGTACGAGGCGGCCACAGCTTCCTGTACATCTACCTGCTGCTTGGAGGGTCGGGGGGACTTGGTAAGTAGGTAGTAAGTAGACTTATATGTACCCTAAAAGGGACCCTAATTGGGGTTATGCTACTTATAAGTCCCTAAAATAACCAGTTACTAAGTCCTCCGACCCTCCAAGTGACCCGCTGGCCACATCAGCTGGGAGCTCGTGTTCCAAATGAATTCAGGTGGCGGGGGCCATCTTCGGGAAGCTGCTGGGGAGCAGCACCTTATGCCAGACTACTTCTGGGGAGGGTAGGTACTAGGGCAGTTCCTGAGCCAAGCTGTAGGGCTGAGGGTTTAGGCCTGTTCTGAGAAGTTGGAACGCGAGTCTCGCTGTGGAACATCCTTCCGCTGGATTGCACCCATATGGGATGGACAAGCAGAGGCTGGGGCACGGCGATTTTGCCGAAATCCAAAACGGCGCCCCCCAAAGGGAGCGAAACTAGGAACGGCTCGGAGCTCCGACAATTGGCTTAGACTCGGCTTAGACCTCACCACTACGTCATTAATTTAACCCTGAACCCTAAACCCTAAACCGTTCATTAAGTCTTCACTACTCAGTGCTGCTTGAGTTTTGGCATGCCGTCTCACCAAGGCATGGTCACCCCTTACCCTAAGGGTCCAGGTATCTCCTTAGGAGGGTCCAGCATGTCCTAGGAAGAGTCCTCTCAAAAACCCTCAGTTTTGAGGTTCCCCAATTCGTTTGGACCCGTAGGGTTAAAACCATAAAACCTAAACCCCTAAACCCTAAACCCCTAAACCCCTAAACCCCTAAACCCTAAACCCGATACGCTTCAACAGGCCAGGGTAAACCATTGACACATGGGAGTTTCAGAAAATAGGGAACCCTCATATAGTACCCCAAATAGTAGGATCCTTATTGTATGGACCCCCAAATAGGGTACCCTAAATTTCGGAAACTCTAAACCCTAAACCCTTTATAGAACCCTTATAGATCCCTTTAAAGGAGCCCTTATAGTAACCCTTTAAAGGAGCCCTAAGGTACCCCTAATTTTCGGAACCTCCCACATGTGACAAACCCTCTGAGCCCTGAGCTTGGCTCAGGGGACTTTGCAAAGAGCTTTAGGGTTTTAAGGCTTTAGGGGTTTAGGGTTTTAGGGTTTTAGGGGTTTAGGGTTTTTTTGGAGGGCGGCTGGTACACTTCTCGATTTGTGCGGTTTTTTTTTGTGCGGGTTTTAGGGTTTAGGGTTTTAGGGTATAGGAGGGTAAGGATGAGGGTTGCAGATGTATTAGTTTCTATGAAAGGTGCCCCGATTTAGATAGAACCTTGAAAAGTAGCATTAGCAGCATTCTGATGTTAAGCACCCCGAGACAACGTACCCCGATTGTAGCATTACTTGCATATTTCAGCAGAGGCACCGAAAGAAGTCATGACCGCGCCACCCGCCCGAGCCGAGGCCCTTGTACCACGACGACGACGGGGAAACTGGGAAAACTCTGAGATTTTCGAGGGCGTGAGCTGGAAAAAGGACTATGGAGGAAGGCTGGATTCTTCCATGTCCGCCACGATATATGTATAGATATATATGTCAAAAGAACGAGGCGACGAGAAACTCGTGGTGCTGACAAATGCAGCGACATTCGTTCGTGAGTCTGGTGCTTTGCTGTTTGCTTTCTCGGGGCGTGGAGCTTCCGCTCAGGTCTCTGTCCTCTGGCGGCACGCTGGTCCTTGAAACCGTCTGACCCCTAGAAACTCCCATATCCCTTAATTCAGGAATATACCTTAAATCAAATTGGGGATTCTACTATAATTTAAGGTATTTTCCTCAATTACGGGATATTGAAGCCCTAAAGCCTGAAAGCAGTAAAACCTTGATGCCTAACGGCGGAAGAAGGCCGACGCCTCGCGAGTGTTGTTTAAACCACTAAATGGGAGTTTCCGAAAATAGGGGACCCTAATATGGTACCCCAAATAGTATTATCTCTATGATAAGGACCCCAAAATAAGGTACCCCCTGATTTCCGGAAACTCCCAAATAACCCATAGACCGATGAACCGCAAGCTGCCTCGCGAGCGGGCTGCCAGCCTCATTCTTACTCCCGGGCTTTAAGTCTTCCCAGACCTTCCAAAACCGCTTAATTTAGCAATATACCTTAAATCATATTAGGGTCCCTACTATAATTTAAGGTATATTCCTTAATTAAGCAATATACTTTAAATCAGATTAGGGACCCTACTATAATTTAAGGTATATTCCTTAATTAAGCGGTTTTGGAAGGTCTGGGGTCTTCGGGCTTCACTCTAGCACTTCTGTCGGGGAGCGTGCGTACTATGAGCAGTTCCTGGGCGAGGCTGTAGTGTTGAGGGTTTATAGGGCCCCAAAAAAGCACACAAGCAGAAATCAGGTTAGGGATATCCCATATAAACCCCCTTATAATGAAGCCCAATAAGGTAGGGATACCCCCCATAAAATGCTTATGCTTATGTGCTTTTTGGGGTCGCTAAGTTTAGGGCCTGTTCTGCGAGTCTCGCCATGGCCTTCCGGACGGGGCGTGCACCATATGGGACCCCCCCCAGAAGGGCGGGAACGAATCGGAGCTCCGGCCATGAGTGGGAAACCATCCCCTTTCTACTTGGAGGGTCGGGGGACTTAGTAAGTAGGTAGTAAGTATAGACTTATAAGTATCCTAAAAGGGACCCTAATTGGGGTTATGGTACTTACAAGTCCCTAAAATAACCAGTTACTAAGTGCCCCGACCCTCCAAGTAGGGGTGTCGAGAGGGATCCCACGGCAACTACAAAGAGGCCGGGTTATTAGTCAGGGGTCTACATGACAATTAAGGGGCGGTGATTTGGGAGTTTCCGCAAATAGGGGAGCCTAATAAAGTATCCTAAATAGTAGGACCCTTTTCATAAGGACCCCAAACTAAGGTACCCGAAAGTTTCGGCAACGGGCTAAGCGGAAGTGAAGCACTGCTGGCTCCACATCAGCCATGAGAAGTCCACATAGATCAATAGTATAAGCCGAAAAGTTGGAAACAGAATAATTAGCCGAGTCAAGAACCAGGAATCCCAGCACTAATTGTCCTGAATTAATCCGGCTTCCAACTTTTTGAGGCTCACTGATACTGATTCCAACATCTCATGGATCTGGCTCAGGCGATTCTGCGTCTCCCACTGCCTGGGCTACGATTTTACTTTGGCTTGCCTTTGAAGGTTATGTAAGGGTCCTGCAAGGGTGTATAGGGTTAAGGAACTTAACCAACTTACCCTAACAACGAAACCAGATTATTGCTATGATCCCCGAAAAAATACTGAGTTTACTTTAGATCCCTAACCCTGAACCCTAAGCCCTAATCATAGCAACTTGCATGAATCAAGAGCCCAGGCGCACTTCGCGAAGCTTCAGATTCGACGCCGTCCCGCGCACCCGCATCATGCCGTTGATAAACTCTTCCTCCTGCAGAAGCTGGTCTCCGCTCCTGGGCTCTTGAAGTTACCAAAACAGGAAGAGGGATCTCAAGTGGATACTGGGACAGCCTTAGTATGGTAGCTTAGCTCTTTTTATTATAGGGACATGGTATCCATATCAGGGTAGCCTATATTAACACCCAGGTTCTCGTCGATCAGCGTAAAGAGATGGCAAGCTTGCGCTTGCTTGCGGACGTCCTCCGTCGAAATGTCAAGCTGCCCGAACTTCTTTTGGATCCTCTGGGAGAAAAGGAAACCGCACAACTCGAAGGCCATCAATCCGACAAAGTGCTTTACCACACTGCAAATCAACACCACAGGCTCGTCCACTTCCTCGGCATCATGTCAGCATCACGCACACAAGCAGCATTCACCATCGTCAGCATCACCCACTCAACATCACATCCGTCATCCTCATCCTCATCATATCAACATCACCACCAGCACGATCATCAGTTTGTCTTTCCATCACTTCGAGAAAAGCAAGAAAATACCGATCTCGCGTGCGATCGTTGAGGTTCTCTGTGAACTCGTCCAGGCCGATGCTATCACTCCCACCTGACATCCTGGGCTCGTGTTCTTGCCTCATGGCATGTTATGACGATTTCCTCACCACCAACTGACTTCCCTGAACAGGACCAAGTATCTCCTTGAAGAGTTGTTTGAGTTGCTCTTTCACCTGATCTGCGCTGGATTGCTCCACGCCTTTCTGACTCAGGTGAACCGCTAACACCGGCATCATCAGGTAAATCAGCGGCATGTACACACTGAGGATGATGCAGGCGGGGACACTGACGTGCGACATCGGTTTCACTAGATCGTAGAACTGGCGGCCCCCGAACGTCCCCATGAAGACGTTGTACCAGATGTTCCAAAGCGACTGGAAATCCTCCCCGCAGAACCCGACGAAGTTCGGCTGCTTACAAGCGTCTGCAACCACTGTCTTGACCATAGTGGCGACAGTGGAGATGGCGAAGACCAGCACCAACACTGTCCACACGAGGGGCACCGAGGCTCCTTTCATAAGGTTCATCTGCACCTGCCAAGTACTTACGTGAGTACACAAAGGGCACAGGCCGAGAACAGCTTTTTCAAGTCCAAGAAAGCGCCTGCCTTCGTGCTTGTGCAGGCGGGGATGACTCTCAGACAGCGCACGATGCGAAACCAGCGCGCGCACTGGGCGATGAGCAAGCATGCATGACCCTCGCTCCCGAGCTGGGCTACCGCGGAGAGGACAACATCTACGAACTGAAGGCAGATCACCACCAGGTCCACAACAAAGAACACATCTCGGCATTGACGTCCGCACAACCTGCAAAGCATCTCCAAAGCGAAGACACCGACCACAACATGATTCGCCCACATGAAGGGGTCGGGAACATCTTTCAGGCCGTTCTTGTGGCGCGCGGAGTACTCTGCCTCGAGGGCTAGCAGGACCATATCGAACAAGATCACGAAGATGACTATGCCACTGATGTATGGATTATCCATGAAGTGGAGCTTTTTGACATCCTGTAGGGAGCAGCAGCACAACAGTTCAGGCTGCAACTATGCAAACACTTATGCAGAAAATCCTTCAACCAGCAGGAGAATCAAAACATCATCGCTGGTGACGATTATTGTTGCGATCCCTCTTGAATGGAAAAAATTGTCAGCTGCCAGTACGTACTAGAACTACTCCAGCTAGGCCACCCTTCTTACTAGTAGGAGGCTGACAATTTGCGCCCGTTTGAACGCTGACTTTTGTCAGCTGGGCGAAGGACTGGAACTACGGCTGATGCTGTTGTAAAACTTGCAGTACCCAATAAGGAATATACTATAATTCCCATAGTTTGAAGTTTGGGGTCTGCAGGATATATATATATATATATATATATATATGTATGTATATGTATATATATATATATAGATCATCAACAGTAATTATGGACTTAAAGTAAAATCAACGCATGGACCAATGGAAGCCCATGCAAACCTGACGTCACTAAATGCTGCTCCGCTGTGTGAATACAATCACTGTGGTGGCGAGAACCGTCACGATCATGCGCGCTTTTGCGATCCTCGTTGCGGTCGCCACTGTTGCCGCGAACAGGACTGCTGCGGCCTGTGGCATCGCGGGTATGCTGCGAGTCCGGTAGCACGAGAGCGGTTCTTGTCAACTGCTCATACGAATACTATTAATTACTTCCTAATGCTAATACTAATAATACAAACATCAATACTACAACTAATACCAACTAATTACTAGTGGAAATGCTGGTACTCCTACTCCTACTCCTGCTGGTACTGCGGTTACCGCTACTTCTCCTCTCCACAGTTCCTTCTGCTGCTCCTGCTCCTGCTACCGGTTCTACCACCACCACCACCACCACCACCACCACCACCCCACCCCTACCACCACCTGTTAGCAGCCCAGCTGCTGCCATCTTCAGGATCTCTTTCGCTGGACTCCTCTGCGCCAACCTGCGAAGTAGCATCGGTGGTAGAACTCGCACTAGTCGTGAGTGGTAGTAGCCAGCAGGGCATAGCCAGTGGCAGCGGCAGTGGCAGCGGCAGTGGCAGCGGCAGGGCAGCGGCAGTGGCAGTGGCAATGGCAGTGGCGCTGGCAGTGGCAGTGGCAGTAGCAGCAGCCGTGGCGGAAAGGGTAGGGCTAGTGTAGTGCTCATGGTTGTGGTAGCAGCCTTTGTTGTCAAACAAACTTGTGGCAAAAAATGTGCATCATGGAAAGACATGGGCTCCAATGACAACATAAGCATGCAAGCGAAGACGACACTGCGCATCCGAAGAAGGAAGGTAGGTAGTGCTACGAGTATCATCGCTGTGGGCTGCCTTTTATCATCTGGAGATCCGATACCGAAAACGCAAGTCAGCAACAATCATCACAAGACCTAGTGCAATCAAAACTGGGTCCACGGCAAGAGTGGTCGCAAAACGGGAGTCACACTTGAACTCTCAGTAACACGACAAGCATGAAAAACTTCACAACGATGTAGAGAAACTCTTATAAAACCGAAAACCTTAATGTAAGGGCCTAAATAATTACCCATACTACTTTGGGGAAGTTCCTTATTATAGTTATAGTAAAATGGGCCCCAAACCCTATTCTAATTATTAAGGCCCCTATATTAAACCCTCAAATGGGAGTTTCCGAAAATAGCGGGCCCTGATATAGTACCCTAAATAGTAGGATCCGTATTATAAGGACACCCCTTGTTTTCGGAAACTCTAGACCCCAAGCCCTGTACAGAACCCTTATAGATCCCTTTAAAGGAACCCTTATAGCAACCGTTTAAAGGAACCCGCAAATGACGACATGCCATGGCCTCCGGAGAGCTGTCAGGGCTCTGCTCGCTTTCTGGCTGCCCGTCCACGGGGGAGTCGGCTTCCGAGATCGCGTCGGTAGCTTCGCTCCTGCTGTTAGGGTGTAAGGTTTAGGGTTTAGGGTTTAGTGTTTAGGGTCCTGCAGCTCCGAAGAAGGTCCCAGCCCCAGCTATGACTCTCTGCAGTCATGGCTTCGAAGAGTGCGCCCTTAAGGGGTGTCAGGTCGTCAAGGCTTGAATTAAGGAAAAGCCTTGAGCCCAAAACTGGTGGACAGGCATGCTCGCGAAACGGTTTGGCGTTTAGGGTTTAGGGTGCCAGGGAAAGCCCCGGACACATGGAGCATCGCCAAAGTGAAATGTGTTTCACACATCAGTCCGACACGTCCCTAGTCGTCTGTTCTATGCCCTAAACCCTAAACCCTAAAAGCTACCAAAAACTCGTAAAATTACGTAAAAACTCGTAAGCTTTAGGTTTTAACCTCGTCGAAACCTAACACTGGCTCTGAAGGAGCAGAGCGCTCCCACCTTCAGCCTACGGCCCTGGAAACATCCACGGCTCGCGCGCCACAGGAAGCAGCTCAGATCGGATTTCGAACTTCTTACCTTTGGTTAGCAGGGAATGGAAGACTGGTAGTCCCAAAGGGTCCAAGTTCATTATGGTATATGCTTAGACCCCCAAACTACCCTATAAGTACATACCATAATGATACCTGGACCCTTTGGGAGTAATAGTAGTTATAGTTGTACCCCATTCCTCCATTCCCTACTTTCCAAAGGTAAGCTTATAGGATTATTAAGGCCCCTATATTATAGTACCCTTCTAGATCCCTAGTAACCCTTATAGACCCCTTTATAAGGCCCCTTCCATTCCCTACTTCGGGCTTCGGAACCCTCGAGGGATCCTGCAAGAGTTCTAGGGTTTAGGCTTGAGGGTTTAGGGTTTTGTCTTTAGGCTTTAGAGTTTAGGGCTTAAGCTCTAGGGTTTAGGCTTTAATTAGGGATTAGGGTTTAGGGTTTGGGGGGTTAGGGTTTAGGGGGTCTAGGGTTTAGGCTTTAGGGTTTAGGGGTTTAGGGTTCAGCCGCTCCGGATCGAGCAGTATTACAGTAAGGTTGATAACACCCACCCACCCACCCCAAGTATCCCATGACAGTAAGAAATACACGCAAGCTATGTAGCCCTTCAACAGCTTCTATTCAACAAATTTTGGTCTGCATGATTACTGTTTTCAGGTGAAACTGTCAATTTAGGATTCGGATTATTACTTCGGGGTAGCACTACCGGAACTTGAAACGAAACCCTAAACGGATTTCTGGACGGAACCTTAAACGGACCCTTCGACTTTTTGGCCTTGGCCGACGAATATTGGCCTTGACCGGCGAATTTTGGCGTTGGCCGTTGCAGACGAATTTTTGGCCTCGGCCATTTTGCTCTGAGCCTCGAGCCTACGAATTTTTGGCCTTGGCCGACGAAACGTCGGCCTTGACCGACTAGTTTTGGGCTTGGCCGACGAATTTTGGCCTTGGCCGTTGCCGACGAATTTGTGGCCGTTGCCGACGAATTTTTGGCCTTGGCCGACGAGTTTTTGGCCTTGGCCGACGAGGTAAGGGCTTTTGGAGTTCCAAGCCCTAAACCCTGAAGCCCAAAACCCTGAACCCTAAAACCCTAAACCCCGAACCCCAAACCCTGAACCCTAGTTAAACCCTAAAACCCTAAACCCTAATTCAACCCTCAACCTTGAAGCTCTAAGCTCCCTAGCAATATACCTTATAAATCATACTATGGGCCCTACTATAATTTAAGGTATATTCCTTAAATGCGGTTTTGGAAGGTCTGGGACCTTGAAGCCCTAAGCTCCCTTTAAAAGGTACTCCCTAAGGTTCCCTTACAGTCCCCTAAGGATTCCTTATACCCTCCCCCCTTGAACCACCCTCCCTTAAGGATCCTATAATCCCTTTAAAGGTGGGCGTTCGGAGTTTTGGGGTCGGGTCTCGGGTCTTGGCGCTCGCGGGCCTGGCTGGAACAAAGCGGCACCGGCCTGCGCTGGGATTTAGTCTTAGTATATAGGGCTGTCCCCTAAGCGTCCAGGTATCTCTTTAGGAGGGTCCGGGATGTCCTAGGGAGAGCCCTTGGGTCTCTTAGGGGTCTCAGAAACCCTCAATTTTGAGGTTCCCCAATTTGTTAGGACCCTTAGGGTAGTTGTAGTATATAGGGCCTTAAGGGTTCCTCTAAGGTATCTATAGGGTTGCTATTTATATATATATATATACCCCTGATAAAGGAAAGTTTAGGGTTCTGATTGTGGGATTTAGTCTTAATATATTTGGAGGATCTTGGGAATGAGTAAACTTAAAGGGCTCCTTTTAAGGGGTCTATATCCTATAAGGACTTCTATAAGGGTTCTACACGGAGGATTATGAAATTTAGTAGGTAAGGACGCAAGTACCTTAGTGAGGGTTATCAGCAATTTTGAGTATAGTCACCTTACGCATGACCCTCGTTACTAAGTCTCGTGATCCTGCAAGTACCCCTGGAGACTCCCCGTATTCTAGAACCCTTATCTGAGTTTGGCTGAGTTCATAAGCCCCCCAAAAGTGTACACTTTCAGCTTTATAGTGGGTAATTTTATCCCCAAAAGTGTAAAGTGTATCCACTCAGCTTCTAAGTTATAGATCCCTTGAAGCCAGGCCACTAGTTACTAAGTCTCGTGATCCTGCAAGTACAGGTCCGAAATTCTCCCCACACTGGGCTTATACCCAGTCCTAAACTACAAAGTGTTTAGGGTTTAGGGGATCAGGGTTTAGTCCAAAGCCCCAAATCAAAACAACTTAACCTAAGACTTACGCCCCACACCCAACTAATCCTGCAATCTCTGAGAGAATCCTCCGAACGCACCGTATATTGGCCTTTATGATCAGAATAGGGATTCGGGGCTCATTAAAGTATAATTCGACGAAGGAACCTCCATATTAATGTTTTTGATCCTCTTCAAACCCTTGTCGAGCAATGTCAACAGCGAAATGCACCAAAACGGATGCGGGGTCTACTTTCACGGTCAGGGGGGTTAGTAAGTAGCGTCACAAGTATACTCATAGGCCCTAAAGTAGTTCCTTGTTGGGATTACCTTATGGGATTCTAAATATCAACCCCAAAAAGGAACTACTATGGGGCCTATGGGTACTTTCTTTGGGACGGTGCCCACAGCGGCGATCGTCTCCGTGTCACTATCTTTGGGCCCACATAAAGATGCAACATCCTTAAGACTGCGCAGCTCGGTTTAGGGTTTAGGGGGTCCGAGTAATTCCTAATATAGAAACCCCCACATTCTACTATATAGGTACTTTGGCCCCTTCGGGGTAGCACCACCATCTTCTTCGTCCTCAATCTCATATGCCTCACCGGGATTGTTTCAATCTGCAGATCCAGAAGTAAGCCACATGATGCGCTTGGTGCAGCCGGCAGAGTCTCAGATAATATAGGGGCCTCAATAATTAGAATAGGGTTTTGAGGCCCATTATACTATCACTATAATAATAAGGAACCCCCCAAAACAGTATAGGTAATTATTTAGCCATGTCGCTGTCAGATTCGTTTGATGCCTCAGCAAAAATCGTCGCATGAGAGATCCGTCCTCCAGGAAAACTGGATCACTCTGCATGAGAGATCGGAGTACTGCTTTGCGTCTATCAAAGGGGACAAGGAGGGACCCTTAATGGGGACCCTTACCCTATAATGGGGCTATATAGTGGGTATAGAATGGATATATTAAAGGTATTTACCTAGGGGTCCTTATTAAGGGTCCCTCCTTTTACCCTTGGAGTCTAAGCCTAAGCCCTAAACCCTAAACCGTCTGTAACCCTAAGGGTCCACAGGACCCAATAATTAGGTACTTGGATTTAGGATAGTAGTTTTGTAGCTCAATATGTAATTAGGAGAGTGTATGATTATTAGGTACTTGGACCCTAAGGGTAAGACTATGCCTTGGGCACGGCCCCCACTCAGTAATAGTTGAAAAATATTCATAATATAGATATAGTAGGACCTTAATAGTAGCCCTATTATAGACTCTTACTGTATGGAAGCCGTACCCAAACTATGCCCAACAACACCGGGAAGTCCCTGGAACCCGATGTGGCCATGGCTGCATATCCGCGCATTGCGCACACCTTCAGGACGCTGCGTGAACTGAGTCTCCGCAGGGCACTCAGCACAAGATTTATTTATAGGTCCCATAGTAGTTCCTTTTTGGGGTTCATATTTAGAATCCTACAAGGTATTCCCAAAAAGGAACTAAAAGGTATTCCCAAAAAGGAACTACTTTGGGGCCTATGGGTAGGAAGTGCGATGTGTAAGATCTTATCCGTAGCAGTACGAAGCGAGATTGGGCCAATTCGACCCAGCCTATTCACGGTAAGTCTTTACTAAGCCTACAAGCCTGAAGGGGGGGGAGCGATTCGAAGTTCCGTACCAGTACCCTGTTTTAAGGCATCTTCTTTATCGAGAGGAAGCCATATCCTTGCTAAGAAACCTACGAAACACCCCATAGCTTGCGGAAGGAACTCCTCATTGAAGCCCGTTGCACTAAACTTGGGCCCTGAACTCTTCACGCTTGGGATTTACGGTTTAGGGTTTAGGGTTTAGGGTTTAGGGATCCCAACCGCTGAAATCCGGACAAGCTGCCTGCCAGTCGGAGGTGCTGACGCTGGCTGCGCGCTTGGCAAGGACCTCTTGGGAGAGTGTGAGGCGTTGGTCATGCAGGTTCACAGTTTCAAGGACCATTAAGAGTAGTTCTGAGGGATTAAATGATTATAGGAACTCAGAGTACTCCTAGCCGCTAGCCCATAGCAACCAATTCTGCCAGTCTATGACCCCAAACCCTGAACCCCACAATTCAACTCGAACATCAGAGTCGCCCTGAACCATGTCCTAAACCCATCTAAACCTTCAACCCTAAACCCTAAACCCTAAACCCTAAACCCTAAATCCATCTAAACCTTAAACCCTAAACCCTAAATCCCTAAACCCTAAACCCTAAACCTTCAACCCTCAATGTCCTACTACCCCATGGCTTCCGCCGGACGTGCCGGATTCTCTGTAACCTTCGTCCTTATCAACTCCCGCAATACTTGAAAATACGGGCCCCTGTGTAGGGCTTAGGGTGTAGGGCTTAGGGTTTAGGGCTTAGGGTTTAG